CGTATCGCCCTCTGTACCTGTGAACGTAAGCAGCAATTTTTGTAGTTAAACCTCTATAGTGTTTTAGTTAAAATGCGTTTTTCCGATTTAGCAAAATATGGAAAATTTTCTCTGTCTCTTCATCTCATATTTTTTAAAATTATTAATCGAAAATATACCTATCTTGCTTATATGTTTTAATTATAATATAAATGGAATTATTTTTTTTACAGGCGCCTGTGGACGCTGTAAGTTCTCCAAAAATACATTTATTAAATATTAGATATTAAAAAAATCAAGAACAATTTTTGTAATATATCATTATTAATGGATAAATGTTCAGCCGATCACAGTCGAGGGAAATCCAACGGGTTCAGCATCAGCTCCGTCCGGCTAAGGGGAGCGCGGGGCGCGGGGGATTCTTCGGTGGCGGGGGTTGACGTTATGCGGCGTGGCAGTAAGGCATCACAGATTTTGCGGATTGCAGTCATGAATGAGTAGCGTGAATGTGATCTTAAATAATGTCATATTCTGAACGTCGTATTTTAGGTCAACTATTACAACATGTTATAAACTGTTTGTACAGGAAATATACGCTAAATATATTGTGATTAATGTGTATTACAAATTTTTAAACTACCGATACATTACATTTCTCCTTGCTTGAATCAATCATGTTATCTCACGTCAATTCGATAACAGTAATGTACAAATCATATTTAAACTGACAAAAAATTTTAAGTAATGTGTACTATTAATTCTCGTGATCATATTTGTAATCAGCACACCAAAATACAGTAGTATACCAGTCAACAATAAAATCGATCGGTTCACCCTTCGAAACTCCACCCAAAATGTTCTTCCGGGTGAATTATAGATTTACTCTTTATCGATTAACTTTTTGATATTCAATAATGCCTCATAAATATCATAAAAGAAAATTTAGTTAAGAACAGCTTTAAGCCAATAAAAAACATATATTGTAACATGTAATACAAAAATTCAAAGTTAGCAATAAATATATAATAAAATTAAAATGAAATTAAACAGCATACATATATTTTCTCAATATATGTATGCCATTTAATTTCATTTTAATTTTATTATATATTTATTGCTAACTTTGAATTTTTGTATTACATGTTACAATATATGTTTTTTATTGGCTTAAAGCTGTTCTTAACTAAATTTTTTTTTTGATATTGTCATATGACGTACATTTCTACAACATATCGATATAGCATCATTTCGTTGTGCTATGTACGTTGTATCGTGTACTTAAACGTATGGATATATAATAAAGAATTGAACGATGAAACCAATATTGTAATTGGTTCTTTTTCAATTCTAGCAATAGTTATTCAACACAACATAAAAGTTACACTGATTGCGACATGGCCTATATGGCGTACTCCGATGTTAGCAAAAAGTGTAAGTAAGCAATTTTTGTAGTTAAACGTCTATAGTGTTGTAGTTAAAATGCGCTTTTCGAATTTAGCAAAATGTGGAAAATTTTCTCTTCATCTCATATTTTTTAAAATTATTAATCGGAAATATCTTGCGTATATGTTTTAATTATAATATAAGCGGAATTATTTCTTTTTTACAGCCTTTTATGCAACCTCTTGTAGAACCGGTAGTGGTAAGTTCTCCAACAATATATTTAATAAATAGTAGATATTAAAAAAATCAAGAATAATTTTTATAATATATCGTTATTAATGGATAATTGTTTCTGAAAAAGGCGGCCAAGTTCATTAGAATAGTTGTGTAAGAACAAGTTGCACTTAACGAAGATTTCTTTGCAGAGCATTTAAACGACCTATTTTATTATTTTTAGAAGGTTTTCCAAGCTTTCCTGGATAAATAACCATTTTTTCATGAATGCACGGACTTCCAAAATGACAATTGCATAAATTTTAAAGGTGTCCATTCAGGGCCAATTTTGGCCATTTTTACACTGCTTCCTTTAATTCAATTTTTAAATTGTATATTTCCTTCGTTTTAGTATAAAACAACGACAATATTGAGGAACAGCAGTTTAAATCAAGTCAAATTTGACACTACAAATTTAACAATAGGCCTGTTCTTTTTGGTTGAACTTTTGCACCAGTTCATCTTTCTTCTTCTTTCCTCCTGAAGATAAAAGGAAGAAAGATTAACTGGTGCAAAAATTTAGTTAAAAAGAACAGGCCTATTGCAATTCAAATTCCGAATTTATGAATCAGTGAAATAATTCTTGCTCTGTGTGCGAAGGTTGCACGAACAATGTCCTTTTTCACACATACAATTGTATTTGCAATTCGCATTGATATTATCAATTATTATCGCTTCCAAGTTATAATGAATAATGGTTATTAAAATTTCCATTAAAGAAAAATCAACAGCAATATTGGTCTCATCACTAAATTTTTCAATCCATATTAAAGTTGTATACGACGGAATAACACTATAATACCTAAATGTAGAAATTTATGTAATAAATGGCTAAAGAAACAAACCCAATGCATCTATTTACTCGAAAGATAGTAATGCTGACTTAAATGACACGATTTTATCATCTAGAAGTAGCAATGTTGTTTTT